TCCTGTGTTTCCTTACTTTCCTAGTGTCAGGTGGTCAGCTTTCATCTCTTACTGTTGTCAAAATAGATGTCTTTACCTATGTCTTTCTCTCTCATTTTTTTAGCCCAGTAATACAGTCAGCTAGAGAGATCCATAGGCCAGTTCCTGCCCTTGCTTTTCTTTTGCTTGTTCATTTATTTACTAGAGGCCTGGTGAATGAAATTGATGCACTGAGGGGTCAGGGGGACCTCAGCCCAGGCCTAAACTGGCAGGTGGACATCACTCTTGCAGTCTGGGAGCCCTTGCTCCTTACCACCTGCCTGCTGCTCACTGCTCCTTAGTGCTGCTGTGAGGTGGGAGAGGCTTCCTCCATCACTGCTGCACTCACCAGCTGTGAGCTCGGCTCCTGGCTCCCCCCTGTGGGATTACACTGACCACCAGGGGGCAGCTCCTGCATTGAGCATCTTCCCCCTGGGTGGTCAGTGCGCATATAGCAATTGGTCGTTCTTGTTCCACTGCAAAGGTCACTTAGGCCTTTATTATATAGATTTTTTAATCTTGAGATATATAGCTAATATAGTCATACATTTTATGAATTTACCCTCTTAAAAGGTACTCTCCCTGACTTTTATTATTATTTAATCTATTTTGAACTTAGAACCAGATAATCAATTTGTTAGCAGCCTGACCAAAGTAAGAAACAAAGAGTATTACTGGTTTAGTAATACTGATCCAAGAGGCTTTCAATGAATCAAGGGCATATACTTTCAGTTTCCTACATAAATGACATTAAAAGTTAGTACATAGATTAAAAGTAGACTATAGGAAAAATAGGTCTCATACTTCTGGCCCCTAAGAAAAATAATTCAAGAGTACTTGAAAAAATGAACTACTTTGAAAAAAGGATTTTTGCTTAGTTTGCTCAAAAAGAGGAATTAATTCTATATGGTATTGGACATAGCACAAAGCTAACATTCCAAAGGGATTTCTGTTTCTTATAAAAACCAAGATTGAGCTACTTTAACATTATAGTTAGATAGATGAAAAGTAGTCAAAAACTATAGATACATTTTCACAACCTATCAAAACCTGAGGGGCCCTAGTCTGACTTAATCCAGAATTAAAAAGTTAGTTTGAAGAAACCTGAAATGGACCAGTGCAATTTGAGAGGAACTAAGCACCTCAGGGATGTGCTTTCTGAAGAGGCTTTAAAATTCTTTATTGATTTACAAGCTCCGGTTGCCCCTTCCTCCTCTAATTTCTTGCACTAGCCATAGAGCAGGTATTGTGTGCTTAGAACTTTGAAAAGAGGATCTGACACCTTATCTCCCTAAAGCTGATTAGAGAATATGTCCAAACCTATATCTCTAAGTGACTATGTGCAGTTTGGTACTAGTTTGATACGATGAAAATAAAAAAAACCTGGGAAGTACTTAAAAACACAATTTAATGAAAAGGATTATATAGTTTATTAAAGTACTTGACAGAGCCAACACAGGAAACTAACTCTGTCTCCAATTAACTACCAATCTTATTTAAAATTTATTACCCCCCACAAACATCCTCTTTATAGGCCTGGGTGATTTACAAGGGGACTAACGAGACCCCTGGGTTGCAAACAGAACTGTCCTGCAGCACATCTCTCCTGACAATGCTGTCTCTAAATAAAACACTACACTTCTTGTTTATCCACATTGGGGTGTTACAGCTACTGCAACTCTGCATTCAAAAAGGTATGTAACTCCTTAGAATTTTAAGTTCAACTTTTTGCTACTATAAAAATTCTAATCATCTACACTAATAAAAGAATAAGATGCAAATTGACAGTACCATCATGACACCCACCAGCCAATTAGGAGTGAGTATGCAAATTATCCTAACAAAGATGGTGGGTTAATTTGCATACACAGGTGCAGAGCAGCCTAGTACACTTGTGTTGTTGCCATGGTGTTGACAAAGGCATTCCGCACCACCCCAAGCCACTCCAGGCCTCTGGGAAGTGTGGGAAGGTGGAAAGGCAGCTCTAGGCCAGAGCGAAAAGGGGGCTCCAGCTAGAGCAAAGGCGGTGCTGGCAGCCAGGGGAAGGAAGACCCATTCTTGCACAGGTCTTTGTGCATCAGGCCTCCAGTATGACTCTAATAATGATTTTATCCCTTGACATTCTGTTTCTTTCATTTACTAAAGACTTCTTTTATAGATTATCTAAAGCTTTTAAAAAGTAAATAAATGGCAAACTAATGACAAAATTGAACAGGTCATGATCTTCTTATGCAGATATATAATTATATCCATTTTTTTTTTTTTTTTACAATATCCTTATGATATAAGGAATATCAGATCTTGAGCTTTACTAGGAAAACTGAAAATGCCTGGTCTTAGTACTTTTCTGTTTGTTTACTTTTTTAATTTAAATTCTTTATTGTTTGAAGTATTACATCTCCTTTTTCACCCATTGACCTCTCCCTGGCTGCCCACAACCTCCAGCATATTTCCTCACCCCCCTACTGTCTGTGTCCATTGGTTATTCCTATATGCATGCATACAAGTCCTTTGGTTAGTCTCTTACCCTCTTCCCCCCTCACCTTCTCCTGCCTCACACACACCTTCCCCTCCTTTCCCTCTGAGGTTTGATGGTCTATTTGATGCTTCTGTATCTCTGGATTTATTTTTGTTCATCAGTTTATGTTGGTCATTATATTCCACAAATGAGTGAGATAATATGATATTTATCTTTCTCCGAATGGATTATTTCGCTTAGCATAATGCTCTCGAGGTCCATCCATTCTGTTGCAAAATGGTAAGAGTTCTTTCTTTTTTACATCAGCACAGTATTCTATTGTGTAGATGCCCCACAGTTTTTTAATCTACTCATCTGCTGATGAGTACTTAAGCTGTTTCCAAATCTTGGTTATTGTAAATTGTGGTGCTATGAACATAGGGTGCATATATCCTTTCTGACTGGTATTTCTGATTTCCTGGGATATATTCCTAGAAGTGCGATTACTAGGCCAAATGGAAGTTTCCTTTCCTGTTAATATTCCAAAGGATTCTTATAATTATTTGTGTTACATATAATGAGCACTGAATATTACTGTCAAATTCCTATGAAAAATAAAATTAATGTATTTTTAGTCCCTTTGGATTAGCAGATGTAGTCTATGCATCCAGATAAAAATTCCTGGGAAAGGTAGGTCTATATTACAATTTACTACACTCCAAAACATCCACATGGCTCTTTTTTTTTATATTGATTATCTACTTCTAAGTTAATTGGCAAATTAAATTGCTAGATATAAACAAACAGGAAAGTACTAAGACCAGGCATTTTCAGTCTTTTCATATCATGTTCAAAAGACCAAATCATACAGAGTTGCTATAATACTCAAATAATTTAATCTTGGACCAAAAGAAAGTGGCTTACAAAAGCCTGATATGTAGCCATATAGCTCAAACAAGAAATCTTTCCTGAATGTATTCAGGAGGGTATTCAGCTTAAATAACACTTTCCTACTTCTTTTTATGTGATAATCTTACCATGCAAATGCATATGAGAACCTCTAGATCTGTTCCCAGAGTTTACATAATCCTAAACTTGGAGCATCTGTTGGGTGGGAAGATAGGCTACGTTCAACATACGTTCAAGGATGCCTAAAATTCTACTTTGTTTCCACAAGGCTATTCAGTGAGATGACTCATGGTATCATTTTCAATCTTGGGGAAGAAAGATTACTAGACTTAAAAACTGCAAAAAATATGTAAATATCAAGTAAAATATAATGTTTACTGAAATTCATAAATCTTTCAAACAAAATAATTTTCTATCATCTTATCAGCAACACTTGTCAATTTTAAAAGATCAAAATAAGTTTAGAGGAAATATAATCCTAAGAAAAAAGTAATCCATAATGCATTACAGATAGAAGCTAAATATGAATTTCGTTTAGCATTCTAAGAAGATAGTGATAATATAATATTGCTCCTAGTAGCACTCTTAAAAATAATAGAATCAAAATAAAATGACCAACTTAGTGTTCACATTTTGTTTTCTAAATACAAATTCCAGTAAGAGAAACTGGAGTTCCTTGGAGTTCCAGGTGTGCAGAAGGCAAAACACAAGATCAGGCAGGAGCATCTTGTGCCAGAAAGTAAGAAAGAATGCAAAGGATGGGGCAGGATGAAAGGACAGAGGCCAGCCAGAAAAAGTTACTACGGGTGAATGCTGGTATTATTTGAACAACAAAATAATGACAGTTTGGGATTAAAACATAGAATAAAATAAATGTGGATAAGCCATACAGTCATAAATAAGTAAATAAATAAATAATAGAAGAGAGACCTCTCTCTTACAGAAGAATTCCAAGAAATAAAAGTAACAGGGATCAGGGACATACAAACTCACCATTACAACACCAGAGTAAATAACTGTTGACTACAGATAAGACCCACCCATGGATGATGATAAAATTAGTGGGAGAAAGCTTGAAAATAAACCAAATATTTATATAGTCTCAAAGCATCTTCCCCAAATACTTATAATCTCAAAGGGAAAAGGAGTATTTTATAGTGTAGCAGCTCAGCAGACACCACTTTAACCATGTGATCATGATAATATCACCAGTAAAAAGACAACAGACATCCTGTTACCTCTGATATAATGCACTTAGGAAGGACATATCACTTATGTGGCAATCTTGCCCCCAAATGCATAATCTCAATATTAACATGAGAAAACAGCGGGCAAACACAAGGTGAGACATTCTACAAAATATCTAAGTGAGAATCAGGAGACATGATGGAACTCTGGATGGAATCATAAAACAAAAATGACATTAATAGGAAAACTGGTAAATTCCAATTCTAATAAGGTACGTAATTCTAATAAAGTTTATAGTTAGTTACTAGTGCTGTATTTATATTAATTGCTTGGTTTTGACTGTTGCACTATGATTACACAAGACCTTAACATTGAAGGTATAAGGAAAGAAGAAGTACCAAGTTAAAATATAAGCAAATATCCTTACCTTCACTTGATTTTTCTGCTTGTTTTGCTGCATTTTCTACTTTTTTTTGTTTTGCTGCTAAGAGTTCCCGCTTTAACTGTCTTGCTTCTTTTCTGAGCTCTTCACTATAAAGCAAAAACAATCATATAATTATAAAATATACTGAGAGAAAGTTGTTTAGCAAAAACAAGTAATTTATTAAATCTCTAAGAAAAACACAGCTTGTAATGTAATTCATTTTGTTTATGTGTATGTCTACTTGTGATATGAAATATACTTAAAGGATATGTGTACTTGTGATATGGAAATATACTTAAAGGATATTTTTAAGTTATAATAACAATCAATCTGTATATATAAAAGCTAAGCAACCAGCTGACCAGCTGACTGGCCGACTGGCTGTTAGGTATGATGTGTACTGACCACCAAGGGGCGGACGCCCAACCTAGGAGCTGCTAAGCAACAGCAACTTTGCAGAGTGCCCTCTCCCACTCCAGGACCCCCTGGAGTGTGCCAGAATACTGGTTTCGGCCCAATCCCCGCAGACCAGGCTGAGGGACCCCCCCTGCTGGAGAGACCCCGCTCACTCCACAGATACTCTTTGAGTTCTGGCACCGCTCCAGGTGCGGCCGGCAGGGGGGGGACCTCAGGTGGTTGGCTCTAGGGCATGACTGGCCACCTTGCCCAGTCCTGCTCTGCCAGCCACCTTCTAACGAATTTCCTTTCAATGTGCACTAATCCACGTACTGAGCCTCTAGTATAATAGGAATTATTATAAAATATACCTCCTTTCACGTATATCAAACAGAATTAGGTAAGTGATAAATGACCCATTGTTCTCCCACTAATTTATTTGCAAATTTAACATCCTACTATAAGTTTAATAATTTGTGGAGAGCCAAATCAAAGTAAAAATTTTAATATAAGTATTATTAACTAACCTGGGCATACCCCAAAAGATTTGGCTTTAAAATTTACTGAATTCCTGAACTGGTACAAATAACTACCATTTATTAAGCAATTATTACAAGTTAGCTGCAGTGCTAGAATTTTTATAAACTCAATAAAAATTTTAATACCTTTTAATACCCACTTAATACCACAATTTGGCAAATAATTTCCTCTTTTGTGAAAACTACCACAAGAATGTATTCTGATGATGAATACAATCATATATTAAAGGCAAAATGAATGTAAATGGTGGCTTCACTGTAAGCCACTAGTTAAATGACTAGTTTCAACAAGCCAGTTTTAGGACAGGAGATTCAAATTCATGCCTTGGAAAAAGTATTAACTTGTGATGAACCCTTAGGGTTACTTGTGAATAATCAAAACTATGCATTTTATATCTGTAAATGTTAAACATCCACTCTATTTTCAACTAAAGCTACAGTGTATCACAAAGACTGAGACAGACACCCATGTGAAGGCTTAGTGGAATCTTAAGTCTGAATAATTCTATACTAATTCAACCTTTATTTCTTCTTCCTAATCTCTAAATCTAACATATATACTAACATATATATTTTACCACTGTTCTATAATAGTTACCAAACTGATGGGTCTTACAATGTCAGTGATTCAATTCTCTTTTTACCTATTTCCCACATCAAACACACACAGCCATATTATGTATCTGCTTGGCCTCCAAGATCCTGAATTCTGAAACTTTCCTTCTGATTAACATCTATTTGTGTGTGTGTATTTGATTTTTTACAGAGAGGAAAGGAGAGGGATAGAGAGTTAGAAACATCGATCAGCTGCCTCCTGCACACCACCTACTGGAGATGTGCCCACAACCAAGGTACATGCCCTTGACCGGAATTGAACCTGGGACCCTTGAGTCCGCAGGCCGACGCTCTATCCACTGAGCCAAACTGGTTAGAGCTCTATTATCTTCTTTTTTTTTTTTTTTTTTTTTTTTAATTTTCTTATTGACTTCAGAGAGGAAGGGAGAGGGAGGGAGAGATAGAAATAACAATGATCTGAGAGAATCACTGACCAGCTGCCTCCGGCATAAGCCCTACTGGGGTTCAAGCCCACAGTCCAGCATGTGCCCTGACCAGGAATCGAACCTGTCACCTGCTGGTTCATAAGTTGATGCTCAACCACTGAGCCATGCTGATAGGGCAACCTTTTTAGCTTTCTTGGTCGTTCATTTGTCTGAACCCGTGCTTACTCTTCTAATAACAAAAGCCAAATTCTGAACAGTAGTTCATGGTCTACTGGTCTTATCCTAAGCTCAATTGGCTCTCCATCCATTCTGGATGATTCTTTCAGCCATTTCATTGATATACTCAATTGCACCTTTCGTTTTCTTAACTTGTTTGTCCTTATGGATACATCATAATCACCTAGAAAAGCTTGTTAAAACAACTCCCAGAAGACAAACCTGTAGAGAACATGATCTCTTTAGATATTGGATGTTGCCTGGGAATTTGCTTTTGTGACAAGTTCCTCAGGTGATTCCATTATGCACTCAAGTTTGGGACCCAATGCATTAGGATCTTACTATAGAAATTATCTCTCTTTCATACAACTTCAAGCACTCCTACTTCAAAAGATCCTTTTATACAGCCAACAAACATGATCACATTTCCTTGGACTGTGTTCCAATCAAGTGATTATTATCTTCCCAAGTGGACTCCTTGCCTGAAAGAATAGTTTATATATACAGCCTACTGCATCAATCTCTAACTTCTTAATCTCTTGCAATCTATCCTTTTTATACTCTATTGAAACTGCTTCTGTATCAACCAAATTCAATAGCCTTTGTTCAGTCCTCCTCTTCCTCTTTGGCCTATCATGCAATGATATTAACCACTTCTTCTTTCTTGAAATTCTATCCTAATCAGACTTATCTACCACTTAAGAGTCTTGATTTGCCAATTCTTCTCCCAGTTACTCTTTTTCTTCTCATCCTATAATTGTTGGCATTTTCCCCATTTCCATACCCTGTACAATGGTATTTTTATCTAATAATCACATAACATGAAGTATCACCTTTACATAGGTTATTTCCAAATCTAAATGTTTTGCTCTGATTTTGGTCCTGCATTTGTAACTATCTATTACAAATCTCCATGTATATTAGTACTGTCCAACAGAAATGTAAGATACTTACATTTCCTAACAGCCACATTAATGGTAAAAAACAAACAAACACACACACACGTGCACACACACACAAACAAAAACACCCAGGTTAAATTAACATCCAAAATATTTTTCAATATATAACCCATATAAAAATATTACTTTGATATTTCACATTCTTTTTAGTGCTATAGCTCCTAAATCTGGTATATACTTTATACATCTCATGAAATTAGCCACATTTCAAGGTTCCAAATCTAGAGGAATAGCAGAGGTTACATGTCACAATAATTACAGAAGCTTATGTCCAAACTTGAAGTCATCTCCTTCCTGCCCTAACCTGTTCCTTCTTCTGAAATCCCTAGTTGATTGTGGAAGCACTTTCTGTTATAACCAGACTTTAAACTTCCACTGGGACTGTCCCTGCTCCCGTACCCCGAATCACTGTTGAAGTACATCATTTTCCAACCTCTCTCACATATAAATACTCTTCTTGACTTTCACCATCAATGCTTAGGTTAGGTTCTCATTATGTATTTCTTAGATAAATGTAATTACTTCCTATTTCTTGAAGTTATATAAACACAGGGAATAGCAACCACATCTTTGCTCTGTCCACTAAATACCCTTATCTTTTTATTATAATGACTTAAAACATTTTCACTTTGGTAAGTAATTCAGAAATGTAGATAGTGTTTTCTGATGACTAAGGTTATTCTTAAAGGTTAAAGAGGAAATGCTGTGTGGTGGATGAATAAGCATTATAAGAGTAATTTGAAGTATGCAGAGAATGAGAGGCAATGAAAGCATAAACCTTAGTACTATTATAGAAGCAGTAGAGCTTCTATAACTTTGGATTCAGAAAATCCCTTCCTCTCCAAAAAAGTCAAAAAAGACAAAGTGAGATAAAAAAGGTCTATACTGATGATTAAAATATGCTTCATTATGCTGAATTTTTCATGTGATGAAGAGTTTACAATATTATCATAATTTTTTAGACTATTCAAACAACACCATTTGTTAGTATTGTGGGATCCATGACTCTTGGAATGAAGTGCAAATTTCTAGTCTAGTCTTTAGATTGCAGTCTGATATTAGGGTTCCCAATCTCTTTTTTTTTAAATTTCTTTATTAATTAAGGGTTCCTAATCTTATATTTCCTGGACCATAAGCCTATCCTTGGGCACTAGAATATATTGAAATGTGATATAATGGGAATGAAAATTGTAAGTCTGGAGAATACTGCTTACAAAGCAAGCAAACTATGGGCTGGCTTTTGAGTCCAGACAGCATTTATCTGGCTCCCTCAGAGCCTAATTTCTGCTTGTATGGCAAAAGAAATGGCTTCTATATTGGGTAGAGGTAAGGGGTAAGAGATCAACCAAAGGACTTGTATGCATATAAACCTAACCAATGGACACAGACAACAGGAAGTGAGGGAATGAGTGGGATGTAACGGGGGATGAGGACACATATATAATACCTTAATCAATAAAGAAATTTAAAAAAAAGAAAGGCTTCTATAAACTATTAACTCTAAGCTAATTAATTTTTTTTTCTAATAGTGTGTTTATAATTTGAATTCATTTGAATTTTAATGTGATTTGTATGACATTGCCATTATCCACCAGATAATTATGCATTGTATATATACATATAAATTTTGGAAAATACAAAAGAATATTAAAATGAACTAAAAGAGTTCACAAGTTCACAGATTTATTTTGGAGCTTATAAAAAAGTGAACATCTTACCGAACACTCTAGCCCCATTTCCTAGAGGTAATTACTATCAATAGTGTGTGAGAATAACATTCTAAATTGTTTACAAAAACACACATGCATACATAAACATGTATACATATATGCATGTATTATTAAACTTTTTTCAATAAAAACAAAACCATGCTATTTAATTTTCTATAATATGCTTTTACTCTTTCTCTTTAAAAAAAAAAATTATATATATATATATATATATATATATATATATATATATATATTATTGATTTTTTTACAGAGAGGAAGGG